TTTAATGTGTACGTTTATGTTATTAGTTTAAATTAAAATTTGCATGGCGCTATTAAATGAGACAAATTAGCTGAAAATTCATGTTTTAAAATTTGCAAAATTGTAATAATATTTATTTACTAATTGCTTATATTTTAATCCCTTGATAATATTTGGTTGATTTTCGCGTGATTATCGTGAAATATATGATTTTTTAATCTTCATTTTATAATACGCAATCCACATTCAATAGAACTTTTAACTATAACACATATACACAAATTATGAATATGCTATATTAAGTTTGAAACGTTCTACTTAATAAACAAAAATAGATATTTAGATATCCCAAAACTATTTATGAGAAGTCTCGGGAATAAAACATCTGTTAAACTTAATATTAATATCTTCCATGACTGTAGTTTATAGTTTCTTAAACTTTTTGGTCCGCGACACCCTTTTCACTAAAAAAATCAAAATAAATGCAAAAAAATATATATATAAATTATTATTTTTTATAAATTATCGGTTTTCTCCCATTCTGTATAAAGTCTCTTTTTGTGCTGTTTATATTTATGCGGTTTTAGAGTGCTCGATTATGGTCTAAAATAGTATGATATTGGCGAAATATTTACCCGCACTATGCGAGGTATTGATATATAAAACTAATTATGATATAAAACGTTGTCTACTAAACTTGATAGGAAGTATTCTAGATATAGTCTATTATTTTAGGAAACAGTTTGATATTTCTTTGGTTGACTTCACATATACACATCATTTTCAAGAATGTTGCAATTGAAATTATATAATAATCATTATATATAAATTATATAATAATTCTCAAAAAAAATATATTTTAATTTTATTACTTAATACACAAAAAACAGACATTTAGATATCTTACAACTGTTTACGAACAGTTGCAGAAATATAACTGAATTGTGATGTTTGTTTAACTTAATATAATTTATTTTTTGTGTATCTAGTTTACATTTTTAAAGAATAAAACTGATCATTCCGTGATTGACATTACATATACAAATCATTTTTAACTCAGATTTTGTTTTAATACGTAATCCATATTTATTTAAACATTGAACTATATAAATTACGTAATAAATCTCAAATTATGAACATATTATAATTTTCTACTTGATTCATAAAAATAGACATTTAGATATACAAAGTTGTTTATGGGAAGTTACGAAAAAAAAAACTATGAAATATAACGTCTGTTAAACTTAAAATTAGGATGTAGTCCACATTTTCAGGAAAATAATAAATAAATATATTTTTTGATAAATTCATTTTTATTACTTTTATTATTATTTAACATTTTATTAGCTACAATTATTACTAACTTTAAAAATATTATAGTAATTTATCAATAACTTAACAACCTCACTGTTGCGGAGAAAATAACCCTTCGAGCTATTACGAAAATAAGGCTCCCAGAAAATCCACTGCATTATCTTCTTATGACTTTTTATATGATGCCACATTTATTACCCCAATTTTGGTTCATTTAACCATCTTCTGCACAACACTCTGTGTCAAAGACTCTTACCGCAAGTCATTACAATTTTACAAGTTTATAATTGAGAGTCGCAAAATGGTTAAGATTCCATCTTTAACAATTTTTGAATATCTTCAAAACCCCATAATGAATGGTCTGTTCTCTTTATTATTTATATTTTAAATTCTATATAAAAATTATTTTTGCTTCTTATAAAAATGTATTGTTCACTTATATATGTGCGGAAAGACTACGTTCATTAGGCCTTTGTATGTAAATATACAAAAGAAAAGTTTATTATTACTAATTTACTAAAATTTAGGTATGTAAATGTAATATCAAAAAAATAACACAAATATCAAATTTAACAATTTGTTTGTGAAGATTTAGAAGTAAAACATCTTTGTTATATAAAACTCAATTATAAATAATGTCCTCAACATTCAGGAATAAATGATATTTGCAAGTTGAGGAAAGTTAAAATTATATTCTTCAGATAAAAGAAAACAAGAAAACCTAATTAAATGATTATGAAATAATACATCTTACAAAAACGATTTTTTTTATTTCCAAATATATGTAAACGTGATATTTTCATTTGCCTTTCAGATTATTGTACAATATACTTTGTATATTATAACTAAAGTAAATGTGTTTATTATGATAACAAATTTAAACAAGCATTTCTTATATAATAAACGGGCGACTCATTATGACGATTAATATAATTATAAATATGTGAAACGTTAATTATATATGATTATAATGTAACAACATAAATGAATAATTGAAAATACATAAATAGTAATTATTTCTCATAAACATTAGTGTTTTTAATTCAATATATGAGCCATTATTTTTTAAACTTATACCACATTCATTTTTTCATACATCGAGATATTTAAGGGTTTGCGTTTGAATTAATTTAAAAATATATTGGAAAATGTTAAACAATTTATCAAGAAATCTTGCTCAACTGAATGTATGATTATAAATATAAAATATCTATTTCTTACTAAAATTACCATTCCAAAAGTGAACTTACATCACCCCTTAAAAGAAACCGCTCATATATTGAATTTACTAAAAATTCAATGTAAGTAAAAATTCTGCCATCAACTTGAAATATATAAAGTCCTCAAATATATTAATCAATCTTAATATTGCTTAATTTTAATTGTACGTTCTTATAAAAATCTTATAGTTATATATTAAAAATATTAACAAATAAAATATATATAATCATCAAGAACGTAGAAACCAAAATTTGCGAGATGTTAAGAAATGTAATATTTAAATGATTCTCAAAATTATTGCACAATTGTAAATGTTACCACATTTGGCAATCCGTCAGACAACCATGAACTTCGTTTTAATAAGAAAGAAATAAATGATTTCCAATATCTTCCATGGTCTTCTACAAAGTGATTAACATTACTCACTTATATAAACAAATATGAGTAAAAAAACATTATATTAATTTTTTTTCTCAGAACAAAGGAATTAATCTATAGGAAATAATGCTGTGAATTCTGTAACGTTTTAGTTTTTTTTTTTTACTTTCTAAATTGAATATAGTTGTTATTTAAGAATTTATTAAAATTAGCAATTTGTATTAAGTAAAAATGTATATGTATTATTTTAAACAGCATTAATACAATTTATAAAAAAATAATTCAACATTTCATACCTATTTAACTACTATTTATATACAATTATATATGTATGCAATTTAATAGGCGCATATTTATTATGATGAACGGATGTTTTGCAAATTGCTTAATATCCGTTAAATTAATTATCGTGCAGATGATGTCATTTCTCTGACGTTGTCATTATGTTAAAATGCAAAGAACAATATAAATATTTGCATGTAAAGTAATTGAATATAGATCGAAGCCTTATGAATATTGTATTTATATATTAGAAATATATATAGACGTTCATAAATAACAATATTATGTCGCAATTAAATCAATGCCAATGATGTGTTCATGATTTATATAACATTTAAATTAATATTATTTTAGTGACTTTCTACAAAAATGAACGTAGAAACTAAAATATGTATTATATAACGGTATTTCGAGATAATGAAATTAATAAAAGCAAGGATTATTTTGTGTTGATAAAAAACTAATAGAATTGGTAATAATAATCGTCTTATTACTATTTATTTAATATTAATATGTTACTGTTATTCATAAAATATTAATATTTACCGTTGCAGCAGTTTTTTAAATCTAGAAAATTTAATAAAATATCTATAATAAAAAAATATAAATTAAAAATAAATATTGACTTTCAATTTTATATATTATGTAGTATTACTAGTTACTAATAAAGTTTTATCTATTCTACTTTAGCCTTTCATTAATAAGAAGAAAATTCGCCCATTCATAACCAGACTTTGCTTAACTATAAAATGTCAATCCTTCTTTAAACCTAGATTAATATAAATTTAATACAAAGTTTTCTTTGAACATTTTAATTATTTTTATTTGTTCTACATACAAAAAATAATTTAATAATAATAATTTATTGGCCAGAGATATGGAAAAAGGAAAATGAGATAAAATTGTTGTACATAAATTATTAAGAACGTAAATGCATTATAAATTATAAACCTTAAAACAAATCTATATACAACAATACCTCATATAGTATGGGTAATTAACAGTTCCATCAATATTCCGCGCTGTTTGAAATCGGACAAAATGAAAATTTTATTGATGGAAAAAAAGTTTGTGTACCATTATTAAACATCTTTATTCGTCACAATAACCAAAAAGCTATCGACCAAAGTCTTTCTGCCCGTTTTGTTTACTATTTTTTAGAATGTATTTCTATTTTGATCAATTAAAATTTAGTTTGTTTTGAGAATCATTTTCAAACTAGATTTCTTAAGATCTCGCAGATTTTGGTTTCTGCGTCTAATAGAACTTGCATTATGCAAAGTATTACTGTTTATAAATAAATACAATTGGTCAAATTGTTATAGAACTTGGTCTTTTGCTCAAATACATTGATTTTTTCACTTTATAATTTCAATACTTTATACTTATATGTATACTTTATTACTCAAATATTGAAAATAAAGAATTGCTACATTTCTGCTCATAATTTGATATTTATTGATTTAAATATTTCATTTAATATTTTTATTTAATGAATATTCCAAGATGTTTGTTTGTTTGTTTGGAAATGTAATTAAAGCATTGGAAAGATATAATGCACAAGTATTTAGTTGAGTGGAACAATTCCATAATGTTTCCATTGAATGAACTTCTAAAGTATGCGCTTTGCCGAGAGGCGGTATGCGGCTAATACCTGCGGTATGTCTAGTTTCTTTCCTTTTTCCTTGTACATTTACTGCTATCTCCTCGTTTTTTAAATTTTATAAACGAATCGAAAATTCTGAGATAAGATAAGTTGCATATCTGTATCGTCACTAAGCCAAATGTATACTAGTGTAGTGTTTATATCAAAGTTTTCCCACGTAGAAAGGTGCATGCAAGAGTATCCTTGAAGTTTGACTATCAAACAAATAGTTCTTAAACAATTATCAGCAGTCTCGATGAGTCGCCAAACGAGAAACACATAAACGACGAAACGCCTGATCCCGTGTGGATAATCATCTCCATGCTGGACATGTAAATAGTACATCGCAAGTGTAGTTCGTGTATTAGATCACAATGCTCCGCGCGTGTTCAATACTAATAGCAGTGTTTGCATTATTTGCGGAATCGAAAGTGGTTTTGTCTAGCAAGGAGTATTTCATCCACAAATGCTGTGAATCGAATCAGCAGTTCAATGAAAGCGTTAGTTGCGTCGCCAAGTCTAAAGACTACTCAATTACCACCTACAACCGGTCAGTACCATCATTGAACAAAGTGCCATTGAAATACGCCGAGTTGGACTGTGATAAGTACATGCTCGAACCATCACAGTATGAAGGTGATGTGTATTTTCTGCAGGATAACGGCACACTGTGGATGCCGAACGCGGACGATCTGGTCAACTTCGAGGAATACTGCGTTGACCGTGATTCGAACGGAACAGACCATGTTTTGGTATGCTACAGGAACGAAACTGAATCGGATATATCTATAATTGCTTACAAAATAGGTAAATAATCGTTTTTTTTTCCAAAATACGATGTATTAACGTCAATTACATTATTAGTTTTCCACTTCAACAGTAATTCTTATCAATCATATATTATTATATCCATTATTATGCATTAAATCTGATTTGACTCATTAACGCCAATTGCAGTTGGCATATCAAAAAATACATGAAATTCGCCGTAATCCTGACAATTAACTAATTGGAAAATGATATGAAATATTGTTTGAAGATAGATAAACATACCGCGCAATACGTTTATTATGTTTACTTTGCAAACAATCGATCTATAATCATATTTACCGACAGGGTTAGGTCTTTGACAAATTCCCAGCAGTATTTAATTTAGCGAGGTGTTTTTTTGTAAAATAATTATCTCGGCTTTTAATTGCTATTATGCATCACTTTAAGAACTCCACATGATTCATATTATTTAACCATTTCTGAGAAACGCAAGTCGTATTGTATTTGAACAACCCGATAATATAGTATAAAGAGATAACGTTACGTATAGTTATTCTGGCTCATGTATCATCAATTAATCAATCAATAGATATTGAAGTGATAAAAAATACCAATCTATTATAAATAGAAGTTAAATGTTGTAACTTGTAAAATAAATATCTAAAATATTTGTACAAGTTTTTAAGAAATATTATTACGTTGATTTCTTACAGTTCTTTCGTCATTTATTTTATCTTTCATTAGTAAGTAACCGAAAAAATATCAAATACTATTTTCTTTGCTGAATATCTCTTTGTTTCTTTTGCTGTCATTCGGTACTTGTTTGTGTGCGCAGAGAGTATAATTACATTCTAATCTTCTCAAAACCAATGCTTTGACACTAGTAATTGCAATATATATTTTTATAATCATTGTAACTACAGTGGAACCTCGCTTAACGATCACATCGCATAACGAGCATTTTTCTTAACGATCAAAATGAGTTGTAAGAAAAATGATTCGCGACGTTTCGCATAACGAGTGACGATGAGTAGAGAAGTCCCGGTTCGCCTGCTATATAATTTTTAAAACTTATTACACATTTTATGTGCATTTTTAAATATATTTCACTATACGAGTAACGGATTAAACTCGTTAAGCGAGGTTAGATAAAGGTTTAACGAAAGTGTAGTAATACACTTTCGTTAAATAAAAAAGTTACGAGCACATCGTTAAAAAAATGTCTTTATGTATTAATTACGTAACTTTTAGGATAATATACTAAACGATTTAATTTTCTCTGTACAGAATATTAATTGATTCCTTATACGTAATTATGTTGAATCATTTCAATACATTGCTGTAGTTGAGATTAATAGATTATAGTCTTATGTAACATAAGAGGGCGACTAATGGTTAAGTTACCCTACCCACGATTTCATGGGCGCCGGTTCGAATCCTGGTTAAGCCAGGCCCTCTCGGTACTTGCAGGTATAGGGCCATCGTTCTTCACAGATGGACAGTCAAATGAATGAGGTTTAGCATATGGACCTTCATTCAAGTCGATGGACAATGACAGTGTTAGGGATAGCAGCAGATTCACAGTCAAAAGAAATAGTGGAATTGTAGAGCATCAATATACTACTGAAGTTAACCTACAAGACGACAGCCAACCAACAAATTTAAAAATCAAATCAATATTACATAAGTTCTGATTCATTTCATGTGTTTTTATTAAGAAACTTTTCAATAATTCAAATTTGTAGCTTAATTATTAGACTATTTAATACATATGAAATAAATATATACAGATAATCCTTTGCAATTTCAAACGTGGCTACCACACATACATAAAATTTAAGTATTTTTAAAATAATTACTTCAGTACTAAAAGTTGCATATATTCTACATTTACTTTGGCTGCTGCGACCATGTAATTTATATTTTCTCATTTTATTACATTTTCTTTTAAATCCATTATTTTTATTAATATGAATAAGTGAACATTTGGTGAAACTTTCCAAATTTCCAAATAAGATTTTTTTCTAATTCTAAGAAATATTATTACCATTATTATTTTAAAATTAAGAAGATATTGTTTAAATATCAATTTAATCTTCTTTCTTTTCTACCACATTTAACTAAAAGTTTTTCTATAAAATCGTATTAAATAACTGTAAACAAACAAAACTTTTAATACTTATTTTCACTTTGTATTCAGATAATGATTCGATTCTTATATAATATATAAGAATTTTGAAATTTCCTGCTATTTTATAAATATCTATTATTCAACAATTTTCATTAATAAAATCTTAGATAAATTAATGTAAATTGCTGTATATGTAAATTCCATTTGCTGTTCCACTTTCGATAAATTATAAATATTTTCAAACGGAAACTAATCGTAAACCCATGTTCATAGGCTTAAAATAAGTATGCGTTGATTTAGCTCGACGATTATTGGAAAGTTATTGAAAACAACTCGTGGAAAATCAAAGCATTGAACCCGTGTCCGTCCTATAACAATCGGTCACAATGGCACCAACGCAACATATTTTTAGAACTGCTCTGCTCACACAAAATTTCTTTGAAGGAAACTCATAAATTCTTGATTTTATGTAATATCTTTAAAAGGTTCAGGAGATAATTGAATAACTGCTGGTAGTAGCTTTTTTTCGAAGACGATAGGAAATTCCACACAACCTGTTCCACATTCAAGAATTCAAAGCATAATTTAATCATCTACCTCATTTATTTCAACTACATCCGTTCACATTTTAACGACATCTTGTGTATATTTTTATATAATGAACATTTTTGATAATTGTACATTTTGAAATAGAAAAATAATAATAAATAAAATTGATTGTATAATATCATACAAAGGGAAAAACATATATTTTTGTGAAACATTTAAATATATTCAATTTTTTATCGATATTTCTCATTCAATAAACACGTATATTGATGTAATTATGTAACTAGATTGTACGTACCTTGATCTATTCTGAATGTATACTAAATGATGATCTTATCTATAGAACCAGGTAAAGTTATGTTTCCCGCAAATCTAAATATTGTAATAGTGAAATTACAAAATTGTCATTAAATATATGAAGTAATTTTATTTTCATAAAATTACTTGGAATTTTTATTTTTTTATTAGAAGATCAATACTATTTAACCAAGTTGACAATAAAGATTTTTATAGATTGAAGCAGTAGTAAATTCTAAAAACTACAACTTATCCAGAAAAAAACTAAAACTTTTCAATTTTGTTGAATAGTTAGTTGATATTATAATATTTACAAAATTTGAACATCTGTACTATAATTATACTTCGGTTAACGTTGCTTCGATATAACAAAGTTCGTAATTTCAAGCCCCATTAAACAAAACAATATTCCAATTTAAGTACAATCATCCAACAAACTATGAAGTTGTACTAGAAGAAAAAAATAATATCAATATTAGCCAGATGACTCAATAAATAGTTTTCAAAAATGTTGATGAAGAGAATGTTAAAAAATGTTGAATGTAGAAGATGCTGTTTTTTCAGTGAAGGTAACCAAAAAGAAAATACCTCAACAGCCAAAAATTTCAAAAGGCGCTTAAATGACATAGAAAACTTTTTTTAATTTAAATGTTCCTGTTTGAGAAAGAAGAGATATTATTAAGCGATCAGAGTGAAATGCAATAATCAATATAGGAAATTGTTAAACGAAAGAGAAAAAAAGCACAAATATTATAAATGATTACTGTTTATTTAAGAAAACTTTTCGTTAACACAAAATAACTTTTAATTTTCTTTACAAAGAAACATATCACCATTTCGACTACAGTATTTTTACCTCTGGTAATGAAAATTTGCTTAACTTAATTTCGTAAAACGCATCCTATTTGTTAATTGAGGTATATCTGTATTTATTTTGTAAATTATTTAAAAAAAAACATCTATTTTATAACGTGGCTGAATAAATGCAAATAAATTAATATTTAAAGTTATCGCTTATTAATTTGTAATATCGTTAGAAATTATTCTAAACAATTATCAAATAAATAAAAGTTTCCATTATTTTATTTGTTTGAGATTGTATACAATACATACTAAATTAAAATATAGATACGAGATATCTGTGAGATTATAAATAAGATGGACAACCATATTTATATCATTTCATAAAAATGTGTGTCATATCAAAGTACATAACTGCGAATTACTCATTTAGAACATATTAATCTCAAAATGTATTTGCTTCGCATATTTTTTTTACCATTGGTTGAGTACTTCCCCTACTCAGTTACCATGAGCTTTTATCGTACTTTGCTTGTTGTGTGTATATAGCAAATGCAGTGCAGTGTATAAACAGTTCATCATTGAGATTTACAATGTTACAACTACTGTTAGTGCTACTATTACCAGTAGCTATATTATCGGAGTCTACACAATGTTTAAATAACGTTACAATTCCATTAACTACCAAGGACTTCAACTCAACAACGAAGGTGTTCAGAAAGAACAACTTGACCTTTCGGCAGACGGAAACCATAACACAGAATGGAAATATCCTCGGATGCGTTTGTGATGTGAAACAGTGCATAAAGAAGTGCTGTCCACTGGGACAATCGAAAATAAACGATACTTGTCAGGTGGATGGAAATTTTCATACGATCTCCGTGTATGACTATATGGAACACCTTCACAATACAACTGATTTTCACGTAGTCGTGAAAGACACAAATTGCGACGGTTACCATCTTGAAGAGGACGAAATTTTCTATATACAGAAGCATGGAGGTTTAGTCATTTCCAGCGATATAGAGTATAATCATTCGTTTCATGATTATTGCATCGACTATTTTTCTTCCGGAAAGATCAATGCGTACCTCTGTGTAAGAGATGATGAAGTACCAGAAAAAAGTCCACTTGTCAATACCATTGGTAAGAATGAACATACAACTTAAAATGGTTTCATCTTGTTACAAAACTTCGCCTTTAAATTGTTATGCATTTATCGATTTATTGATTAACTTTCAGAAAACCAAAATAAATA